TCGCCCATATTCTAATGCCTCCAACCTTTAGCTGAAGTCATCTTGGAGACCAGACTAGCAGCTGCGGGGCTTGTCCTGCAAGCCACTTGGCGTCTTTTGTCCTTGGGGGCAATCAATCCGTGTTAATGGCTGCGCAGCTAAATCAAATAGATTGCCCCTGAGCCAGTCCAGAACAGGGAAATGTGAATAATACAAAAAGCTAGAAAAAAATCACAGGGAATCTGTGGAAAAATTGAAAAGTTTGCACAAATATTTTGCCACATAAGTTGCAGAATCTTTGAGAAGATGGCGTTGGCTAAATTGTTATAATGTTGTTTTCGGCTTGCATGGTGGCATGTTTAAGCTATTTAATTATGTACTATCTGCAACTTGGCCAAATTCGAACAACAAATCCCGGCCAAGAAACTTGGCTGCCCTGCAGCAGCCCTGGCAAACTGGCAAACTAAGGCCAGGCCAAGAAAGTTGAAAGCAACACACACACAACCCTATTTACACACACACACACACACACGCACTTGACTTGGCCTTAACAAAGCGCCCAGCGACGAACCAAGAGGCCCAGCTTCAGTTACAGCACCCGCTTCCCTCTTCCCCTCTGGTGGGGAGAGGCATGCAATTTGTATGCCCGTCAAATGCGGCTCGTTATTGCGAAATTTAGAGCTGCTCGAAATAATTCCAACAAATTTTCGTGCAAACGAGGCAGACGCAGTTACAACAACAATATACAAAACTAACGCACAGCTATATACACTCACACACATACATGTAGGCACAAACTATGTTATAAGAACTGTGACACCCAGCACAAATGTCGAGAGCGCATTCAACGCTGAATTTTTCTTACGAGCAAGCGCATAACCGAAGCGCATTTTTCTGTCTAGTTAGATCATATAGATGATATCAAAGATCAGGCGATTTATTTAATTTTTCAGATAACTTTGACAATTAACTCTTATCAACACTATCATAGCATTTTTTTTTTGCCATACAGATAAATGATCCAATAAATATAGCCAGAGCTACAGTCATATATCAAATATTTGGAAAAGATTACAAAATGAAAATAAAAAACAAATAAAAATTATGTTGCATAGTTGATAGTTGAAATCTTTATTTTGTAATGTGTTATGAAATATTCAAATACAACACAAATGCATTTGTCCTTAATTTCAAGTGACCGTTGTGGACAATTTTGTCGCCCGTCTGGCTTACCATGTCAGTTGCTGCCAACGGATGCCACCCAATTCTACCACAATCCGTTGCCCAAAAGTCAGCCTCCCTAGCCCTCCAACTCACTCACTCGCACCCTCTCTCCATTTCTCTCTCTGTCACCCTCTCTCTCCCATTCTCTTGGTGGCCAGTGCACGTGCATTAAAAGTTTAGCGCCAAAGTTGTTGGTGCTCGTTGCCGGTTGCCCGTTGCCCGGACGCAACCGGCGCAAACCGGAAGTGGTGGCACACGTTACCAAAAAGCCAGGCGGGACAGCGGGTGCAGCGGCTGCTGCTGGAGGAGCAGAGCAACATGTACCACGGCAAGTGGCATGGCTGATGTAGTTTAATTATGTAGAAATCGAGACACGCACTTTGCCAGACAACGTCAACGATGGATGCACAAGCTGGAGACTGGTTGCAGGTGCTGCTACATCTGTGGGTGTGGGTGTAGGTGCGGGGCGTCATGCAATTGACACGCCCACACGGCGACGACAACGCCCTCATAACTAGCGCACGCAAAATTTGTGGGTTTTTATCGCTCAGGTGTAGCAGGTGCTGTGAGTGTGTGTGTGTGTGTGTGTGCCTGAACGTGTGTGTGCGATTATAAATTCTGTTGCATGTCAGTGGTTTCCATAGTTAGTGGAAGGCACCGCTTAACGCCAGTAGACAGCCAGGCAGCCAGCGGCAGGTGCAAATAAATGCCCTGAATTGCATTAGACTGTCGACTGTCGCTCAGAGCTTGAGGATTTTCGCTGGCGGTAACTTTAAGTAAATGGTTAAAAAAAATAAAAATAATAAAACCAAAAATGAAAAGTACAATATTAAAGTTTAAAAAAGATGCAACTTTCATTGTGGCATCGCATAAATTTTAATAAAGGCAAAGTCAGTGAAAGCTGCGCAGGTTTTTCAGCATTCAGCTGGCATTACAAACCGTAGGAGACAGTCGTTTATATCAATTAGCCGCCGCGTCTGCCAGCAAACAGCAAACAGGACAACAGTTTACGCTCACAGTTGGGTTCGGCTTTAGCTTCAGTTCGGGTTCGGGATCCTTGCTCAGGTGTGACTCAAGCTGATATGGAGCTTGCATTCGTTTGTATTTGTGTGTGTGCTAATTGATTTATTTGTGCGTTCATTTTACACAAAATGTGTAAATAAATTGTAAAATTAGTAAGTCGGCACTTTGAGCTGGGTATTGGGATTACCAGAAGGTTCGCTTGAAGTTTCATGTAATGCTTGAAATATCTTAAAAACTCAAAATCAAACGAACTTTGCTCCTGTAGCAACTGCAATGTTTATATTTAGGGCGAAGTTGAAAGACTTGGTAGAGAACTAAGACTTAATTATTTTATATTTTTAATTGACAAGCAAAATTACAAACAAAGCACATAGTATGTACTAGGTTGCAAGACTTTTGCCAAATTTTTGTGCAGAAAAACTTCTCAAATTTCTGGTATACTTAATTAAATGAAAATAATACCAAGTCAAAACTTTTGCTGCAAAAATTGTTGCGTCTTGTTTATTACAAAGACTGCAAGCCTGTTTGAGCGGAATTTATTTGAATGAGGGTATAACAAATTCTTGATTACCATGAACCGAAGCTTAAGCCGCATTAGCTGAGGAATCTAAACTGAACATTTTTTTTCCCAAAATTTCTTAGTCGGAACCAATTTAACATAATATTATATGATTTAACTAAATCATTAAAAATTAAATATGAAAAAGGTTATGGAAAAATATTTAAAAAAAATAAAAGATATAATAAATTTATTTTATTAAAAACTGATTTTTTCTATTGAAAAATTTAAATAATGTGAGATGCAAGACTCAAACCTAATTTATTGAACTTAATTTAATATTAGTCTAATGAAATGTGAGAAGAAAGAGTATGTTGAAAAGTTTGCAATTACAAGAATATAAACATTTAAAAAATGAAAAGTTCAAAGTAATAAATATAAATTTAAGTCAAGGATTTCCAACAGTGTAGCCGTAATGGGGTATTGAAGTTAAATTAAAACTGACTCATAAAATTCTTTATATATTTCTCTGATTATGAAACGTTGCAAGCATATTCCCCTGTCGCAAAGCCATCAGGTAGCTCACACACGAATTCGTTGCCTAAAGAAGCGGAACTACAACAGATTCCCGCCGTAAACCCAGCGGCAAATAATTTCTGTGTGTGTGGGTGGCAAATGAAGCCTGGGACTATTGACTAAAAAAAAGAAAAGAAGAAAAATTGAAAAGAAAAAAAACAATTCGCGTTGCCAACGCAATTTCACACTTTACCAGCTACAAATTGCAACATCATAGTCCAGCGGTTACGCCCACATAGGAGCAATGCAGAACCGATTCCTTTTCAGGAGCAGGTTAGGCAGGGGGAGAGACAGGCGCCTTGCCCGATTATAAAGATGACGATGGCGTCATTGCTGCCGGGCTGCATGGAATTTTATGATTTATGAGTGCGTTCTGCCAGCCAAGAGCTGAACAGGGCCGCTTGTCGAATGGGTCGGTGGAGGGGATGTGCAGGGCATTTTTCTTGCCGCTTGCCTCTTGGATCCTTTTTTATATTCTTCTTCTTTTTTTTTGCTACTGAAAGTGGCGCCACAGAAATTGTTGCACTTTTTGTGGTATTGCCATTGGTGCAGCTGCAGGTCAGCGTGATAAATGAGTTTTGCACATTTCGCAAGCATTGAAAAGAGTTGAGCCCTGAGTTATGAGCTGATGCAAGGATGCGGGAGGCAGTGCCACGATGACATTTTCTGCTGCTGCCTCAATCTGTCAGGGTACAGCAAATTGATCAGACGGCCTGTGGTCGCTCCAACAACAAATGCCCAGCAAATCACGTCAGTTAACACCCGAATCCCCTCCCCTACAGGGACAACTAGGAAACGCAATTAAGCTGACCCCTGCCATTGGGGCTGCCCGCATATCCAGCTCGAGAGGTGTGCCAAATTCCCGTGTCTGATTTGCAACAAAAAAGGCTTTAATTAATTTATGCATGCGAGATTTTGTTTCGTCCAAAGCCTCAAACCTGCCACCCATCTAGGCAGCTGAAATCCACCCTCGTGTTGTCATCTGACTGGTTGGGCATTTCGCGGAAATTGTTGTCAAATTTAAGAAACTTTAAAAACCAATAACCCTTCATTTTTTGTTTACATATCAGTTTCAGATGTTTTCAGCCAAAAGTGAATTAATATTTTCTTCAAATAAGCAAAAATGTTATCCATACAAGAACTTAATATATGATATAGTGGTACGATCCAGACGGTTTCGATATATGTACTGCCTGCAGCAGAAAGACGGACCTATGCAAAGTTTAAGGACGATAGCCTTAAAACTGAGACTTGTTCGCATAGAAACAGGCTGAAGGGCAGGCATGGCTCTATCAATATATATACTTTATGGGGTCGGAGATATCTCCTGTTTTGCGTTACACATTTAATGACAAAATTATAATACCCTTTACAAGGTTATAAAAACAATAAGCGATCTAGAACGAAGGGTAAGATTGTAAGGCTGAGTAGTCCGATCTAGACAATATTTAAACATAGCTGAGAATCAATGTGAAGAAAATAATGTCAGTTGAAAGCCAATAAGAAAACTAAATTTTTGAACAATAATTTGTTTCGATTGAAAGTAGTTTAATATGATAATAATGATAACAATTTAATGAATATATAAGTATATTTCTAAAAGAGTTACAGTTGTCTGGAATTGATAAAATTTTCCTGAAATAATAAAAGTATTGCAAGGCTCGTAGCTGTCAAGCAAAGTTCAAAATTATTTTCACAAACAATAATTAGTAAAATCATGCTTGGAAAATGCCTTCAAAGAAAAATTTCTAAATTATTTAAATTGGAAATGTGTGTGTGTGTGTGGATTGGTTTATTTCCAAATCGCACAGTAACCCGCATTCTATGCTGGTTTGCAGTTGCTATACAAATGCTCCTCGCAATTCTGCTATTATACTTTACGTGTGAGAAAGGTATATGTGCAAAATGAAATCAGTTCTATTTTGATTTTATTCATTTAATTTTGATTAGGTAAAGGAATCGTCGAATTTTCCTGCTCTCTTACATTTTTCATTGTAATGCTCTTGTTATCGATTTGGCTAATCGACGTACTCGTGCAGGTAATGGCCATATTCATTTAAATATAGATTCTATTCAATAAAATATATGACTTTTAGCACAATTCATTGGCATTGATGATATATATAATAACATTCGCATTCTCTGGCGTTTTTGTCCTTACCTATCTGTTGCTTGTTGTTTTCAAAGTGATGCACAAGGGGGACCCAAGGATAAATAATGAGGCCTGGAAAAATCAACTGCTTGCTGTAGTATTTTCAGGTGAGTCTAATTTTTAGCCGATCTTCATTCTTAAATAAAAAAAATTTTCGAATAGTCAACTATGTGTTCACATTGGCTGCGTTGCATTTATATCGCACAACAATATTGGCAGAGAATGTGACTATGGAAAACACTTTCTAACGCGGATTATTCTATTTTTCACTTGGATGGGGCTGGTGCCAAAACAATTTCGTTTATTGTCTCCCCTTGCATCTGTGTGGGGGAGCTGGCGTGGGGCATGCAACAAAGAGTCAAGTGGTTGAGTGGCATGCACGACTAGAGTTACAGCAATGCCTGCTATTCGCTATTCTACTCCTCTACGGTATTATACACTCGCAACTGGTATTTCAGATTTGCAACAAGATTTGTAACGACCCGAACAAGTCGTAATGGACGCCAGCAGCTTTGTAAGTATGTATCATATCTATTACCATATCATATGAGAAATGTTATAATGCCTATTTCCCGCAGTGTAGATTATTTTTGTAATCTATCTGGTTTTATTTGACGCAAGGTTTTTATTAGCGCGCCAATTTTACCAGTGAGTCGAAATTTTGCTGGCAATTTAATACAAGGGCATTTAATCTTCGGCTATAATTTGTTGTTGTTTAATATTTTCAGTTGCCCCAGCGACCAGGAAGCCAAACAGCCGACAATTCTACGTGCCTAGACGGCAGCGGCAGGCAAGCAGACAATCCAACCATCCACACACCCATACACACACACACACACACACACTCGCACACACAACATATGGTGTGCACATTTCCAGCTCAATTGCGCGCTCAATGAATAATTTAGTTGAAAATTTCGGCGCACTTTTTGTGTGAAAATGCGGTCTATACAGTTATTTGAGTGCAACAGCCTACCCACTCCGCCCCTCATCCCCCCTCATCCAGCCGCACCACTCGTCTGCTCAGTCAGTCATAAAATTTATGCGTTTTTCCTTACAGTTTTTCTCATTTTGGTGGGAGCTTTGCTCTCGGTTGCCTCATAAAATGACTTGCGCAACAGTTGAAAAATTCTAAACGCCGTCATAAATGCTAGACGACCATGCCCTCCATGCCCCCCACCGTGATGCCCAGCGTAGCTGCACTCTGCTGGCGTTGCCATATCAGCGCCATAAATAAATTTTTCGTGTTTGACTTTTGGTGAAATGAGGAAAAAAAATATATATATAAAATAATAATAAAACAGAAAAACTTGCATGATATGGCAATTGTGGGCGGTGGCACACGATTGCCTTAGGGCCTGACACTGAATTTATGTATGGGTGTGTGTGTGTGTGTGTGTGTGTTTGTGCATTTGCTTTGGTGTATGTGTTCATTTTATGACTGCAGGCGCTTTTTGTGGCTATACAACAAAACAACAACAATAAGCTGTCTAATAAAATTTAAAATAAGACCACAAAAATGGCAATTGTTTGTGATAAAACTGCAAATTGGGCGGCAATTTTCGAAATTTGTTTCGTTTTCAAATTGAGCGACTGTAAAATTAATAACAAATTTTGAAGCCCTGCAACAAGTGTTTTTTCTTAGTTTTTGTTCTTGTACGGACACATACAAGTCTATAAGGCATTTATTTAATGTTAAGTTAAGTTGTGACTGAGCGCAGTTTGGATGACAAAGGATTAGTAACTTTATAATATTATCCAGGATTATGCACAATGTCTTCGAGAATGTGTTGTTCTTAGAGCTTCTTGTTGCAATCATCATGTGTATTATATAAATCATCATATTTTTTAATTAAATGACACCCTTATAAAAGAATTTTGAATAAACACATGCTTGGTTAGGTTTTAGGGGCTTTCTCTAGCTAATTAAATCTATTGCAGAGACGGAATAATATAGGAATTTGTGGCAGATGATATTCTTTATCTGATAGCTTCTTCTTCTCAGATCGTGTCAAAAGCTTAAAACCACTTTACCAGAATATAGCTCGAAGATAAATGGATAGTTAATGGCAGCAGCTATAACCAGATGGAATCGGTTTTAATACCGTAAATATACCAAAAGTCTAAAAAGTCTTCCCAATCCCCATTCTATAATATGGGATTTAAGAATATTTAATTTAATTGATCGAAATGCTTCTGCTTCTTAGAGACAAATTTGATCCCAACAAGCAGGAGTCATAATACACAGATATAAATATGTAAATATTATCCAATGCAAAAGCTTAATTGCTTGAATCAAGTGTTTTAAATGAACTTCAATTGTGGCCAGAAACAGTGGAAACTATGTCATACCCAACTACGGTTGGAGCAGCTGCATAGTAAAGAGTCCAGCCGCAGTGGCAATCCCTGAAATCTGTAGTTAAATATATATATATATATGTATATATGCATTTGTAGATGTATGTATGTGTGTGCACAGCTCACAGTTTGTCTTCTTAATTAGTGGCCAAGTTAAAGAAGAAGCCCAGACAAGTTTATGTGGATTTGAATGTCTTTGCCTGACTGTGCGTGTGTGTGTGTGTGTGCGTGTGCTTGGTGTTATGCCTTGCAGACGTCTGTTGAAATTTGAAGGGGGGCCCGAACGTGTTTGCTTTGTGCGGATTATGATTATTATATGGCAATTATGCGTTTGTCTTTTGTCAATTTTGTAATAAGTGAGATTGCCTTAAGTAAATGCTGAGCCGCAATTTGTCTTAATTTGCAAATGACGCTTCGCATTTGAAATTGAAATTTACTCGTGTTTGTTTTATTATTTGCCATTCAGCTGCAGCTGTCTTGTGTGGCGTGTGGCATGTGGCAAGCACTTGGCATTTCAAATTGCTGCAAAAATCGATAATTATCTGAGAGTTTCGGCTAAGCTGCCACTAAACAATACGCCGCAATTTGAGGCAAGAGGCTAAATGGAGAGAGTGGTAGAGAGAGAGAGAGGGAGGGAGAGAAAGGGACGGGGCGTGCGTGCAAGGTCTAGTGTCCTGGCACCTTCAATAGACAAATTAACATTTCGACAAAGGCAACCTAATCAAATGTCAGAATCACGCATGTTGCATGTCCTAGCCAGTCGAGTCCAGCTAGCCCCAAGCCCACCGGCGCATCCTGGCCAAAAGTGACATTTTGTTATAGCTTGCAGGCGGACGTGCGGTCGGTTGTGCGGGCTGTAGCCCTGGCCGTGCCACTTTTTGCAGCCCCTTCGCATAACTTTCACTCTTGTCAGTTGCAAATTACGCCGCACGTTTCTGGCTGGGGCTGAGGCTGGTGCCTGGTGCCTGCAGCCTGAAGCGGCAGCAACGTCGTAATTTAAAGCTTATTTTGACACTCACTGCCGCTGGCAACTGCCTGGACTCAGGAACAGCAACAGCAACAGGAGCAGCAGCAACAGCAACAGCAACACCCAATTTGCATCTTTCAAAATCGTGTTTTGTTACATTTTGTGGATGCGCAAAAATTTGCATACGACAATTAACACTCGAAAAGGCGCGACCCCAGGGCGAGGGAGCACGGGCAGGAAGCTGACATGTGCCGACTCTGAGGGATGCAGCAGCAGCAACAGTATCCCATGCGAGCAGCTTATCCTGCATGCTGAGGCAGTGCAACAAACGTTGCAGGCGTTGCCCGTACAACATTGCGTATGCGTAATGTTGTCTAACCCAGCAGCAGCAACAGCAGCAACAGAGTTCTAAGACAACTCAGATATGTAAATACGATTGCTTGAATCAGCTTTTGTCTAAGGGCAGTGCCTGTCCCAACTCTCACAAATTATATTATTCAATTCGCAAAAGCATGACTTACTAATGAGAATGACATAATATTTGTCTATCCATAATACAAAGCTGTTTTTAGCAATTTAGAAGATCAAAAAGATCAACAATCCAAATATATTTAAATACACATATTTGAATTTGATTAATTGCAAATTTGAAATTAAATTAACAAAAATTTAGGTCAGTCGCTAAATGCAGATGAAAATAAGATTAGGCTCGGATAGATCGTAATTCTAATTATCCGACTTCCTCAACGAAAAGGAGCATCATTTACAGCTAACAAGGATCGAGCACTTAGTTTAATCAAAACTTAAGCTTTTCAAAGGTTTTGAACTACGTTATTTAACAAATTTAAGTAAATTTACGTAAACGCAATTTTGTAGAAATTTGTTTGCTCAGTGTAGAGCACTTATCATATGAAAACGGGTTGACAAAACCAAAGTACAATATCTTAAAGCAAATTAAGAACCGCAATCAGCCGCAAACATTTCACACACAGCTTCCCCCCCACACACACACACATAGACACACACATTCGGGCACAATCGAATGCGAGAAATTGTCGCGTAGCCCCTGCCACCCACACATCGATGGCCCAAAGGGTTGCACGAGTTAAAAGGGAAGCCCATTTTAAGCGACATGCATCGAATGGGGGTGGTGCTGCGAATGTGGTGGAACGTTTGTTGTTTGATGCCAATGCCAAGAAATGTCATGATAAGCACAGCAACAGCAACAGCAAAACACACACATACACACACACACACACAGTTGCACTTAATACGCTTAATTGACTTTCATGTATGCACGAGTGAGTGCAGCGTCACGAGAGAGAAGCGGCGAGCGGCGAGCGGCGAGTGACGACGAAGCGGGGCGTAGTGGGTGGCGGCGGCAGATGACGTGTCGGGTACAGGAACATGCTGACGTCTGCTACGTCTACATGTTGGCCAGGCTGCTGCACCACTGAGCCAAACTGATGCGGATTGATGCAAACTGATGCAGCCCAGCAACTGGTGACATTAGCGATGCGAAATTAGCCCGACAACAGACTGAATACAGCCAAACACCAATCGAAACATTCTAGCTGATGCCCCATACGAATAGCTGCCAGTGTTGCGAAGAATAAAATAGAGACTCTAGTAAGAATAATATTAATTTGCAGATTATCGAAAAGAACAAATTATTCACTAACAAAATTAAACAATTCAAAGAGAATTCAATAGACAAAGAGAAAGAAGCGACCAGAAAGAAAAATGCCAGAGAATGGAAGCTGAATTTTTGACTCTAAAACTGTAGAAACTTAAGAACTGTGGCTAGAATATCAATTATTGCAGTATGTGTGGATCTTTAGAGGAGATCATTTTTACCATACCTGCAAAAGTTTATTAATATAGGGCATACATAGATTATATAGAGTATTTTTGCCTACAAAGATAAATAACGATCTAGCTGAAATTTCCTTATGTGAATAAATACACTCAATTCCTAAAACCTGGCGACTCAAACAAAAGACACACAAATGGCGCATAAGGCAAAAGCGACCTTACAAGCTATTTAATAAATACAAATATTTACAAAAAAAAAAAAACTCAATTCCTGAATAGTATTAATACACACCCGTGGAACGTTATGAAGCACGTATTCATTAAGCTCTTATGTAGGACTTTGACAAAATATTTGAAGAAAATCGGAGAAAACTTAAAGCGTAGCCCAAAAATCTATGAATCGCATTTTCCACCGAGAAAGCTCGCATTCTGCGAAAAGTGTAAAACACGTCTTAATTGATTTTTCATATAGATCATTGGAAAAAAATGTTAACACGAAACGTCACCCACCAAATCTTTGACCCCCATTTCCACCAAGGAGGAATGCATTTTTCAAAAAGTGTGAAACACCCATCAAATGAATTTGAACACATATCTTTGAAAATGAGTTTGAGGCCGATCGGATGGTAAACAATTAAGTTTCATACAAACTTGCGATTTTTACACACATGTACACATAACTACAGTGAAAATTTCAGCTTGCTAGCTCTTACGGTTTGGGCTGTGCGTTGATCACCAATCAGTTAGTCAGTCAGTCAGTCAGTCAGTCAGTCAGTCAGTCAGGACACCCAGTTTTATATATAGAGATAATATTAAGAATGTAAAAATGTAAATAATTAAATTTTAAATATAATTTTTATTATTTGAAAAGAAAACTTACACACAAAAGAAATAATTTTGCGCTCTGCTATATATTACATGGTTATTTAGCTGGCAAATCGTTATAGGACGATTCATCAAATATTATGGAAATTTAAGCAAATGTCCGTAAATTCAACGTATCGATACTCTTGATAGCTTACATCAATGGGGATGTGGAATGTGGAATGTGGAATTGCCAAAAGGCATCGATAATCGCACACAAAACGCTCACAAGCTGAGCCCACACAAATGCGAGTGGTCTCATACAAAGGGGAGCCAAGAGCTCTGGCAGAGTTCTGGCAGCCTCATTCG